GTCTGTCAAGTATGAAATAATTTGGGGACAAAAAAACAAACCTGCATAGAAATCGGAATAATAGGTCTTTTGATTATCGGAGACGCATTTCAATGGACTTGATTACGGACAATGCATGACATAAATTTCACCAGGAAATTCCGCAGTGTGCTCTCGCAATCGCGGACTTAGTCATTTTTACAAGGTTCGCCATGTTCGATGTCACGTGATAATTATGTAAACAATGTCTGTCCAGTTTGTGCGAACTTGCACCTCTATACTTAGTCTTTTGATATATATAACCTAAATTACTGTTCTGAACGAGACAACAGACAGAGAATGTTTTATTTAAAAACGTCACAAAACCTTCATCTGAAAAAGAATTGTGTGATCTTGTTTGAATTCATTCGTGTTTGTGTGAATGATGTTGATAATATTGCAGGATCATGAGGTAGCCGCCCTGTTTAAGTAAATTGTAACAAATCATTTGTGTTTTCTAGAGATAAGGGTTAGGCAACTACAGAATTTCTGTTGTATGTATTCCTTCGCATTATGTAAATAAACAAAGAAAGACCGGAACAGGAAGTCTGTAGAAGACAAAAAAAATTTTCGTTACCGTGGGGAAAGCTGGTCAGCATGGGGGAAAACAGAGATGTTAGTCCGAAAATTCATTGTCTATTCTTGTTTGTGATTGTTCCAGGCAACGTTTGGGGGATCGTGACGTAGCTCCGTCTTTGAGAATACATTCTAACACATTGTTTATTCAGAATATTCTGGTGCTGGTAGTCACGTAAATTGGGTCAAAACCATACATTTTAAAAACTGTTGTAAAATAAATTGTAACAGCTTTTTTATGGATATGTATCTCGTAATAGTACAAACAGTATGGATATTTCAAACATATTATTCTGAGCTACATGTATATGAAGATGTCCACTTTTGACTAAAGGTGGTGTGCAATCTGCTGTTGAGCCTCTTTCACACATTGTTACCACCTCACAAATACATACTAGCTAGTATATTCTAAATAATCTTTAAACTGATTACTACGACCAATAAATTCACAGAAGCAAGTGAAAACAAAAAATTGATACATTAATACGGTCACAGGGCATCAGAATTGGTAGGTAATAGCATCCATGGTAATAGCCACTGCGGAACACAGGTCATGGTGATCCTTTTGTTCTATCAAGATAATCCAATTAAGTGTTTTAATTATGCAAAGGGAAAAGGTAGAGCACACATGCTGATTTCTGTTATGTGTTTTAGTTTTTTTATCCCTCTAGATTCTATGGGTCTCTCTTATTATCTTGTCCATTGACTCACAGTCCCTCTATAGAGGGAATGTGATTGACTGAAGATTTTTGTAGGGTTTCATTTATTTTGCGAAAACTTCCAATATGCCCCTGAGACTAATCAAAGTGCTGTATCCTTGGTGTGTGTGTATTTTTATCCGAATAAAAGAGCATAATTTATTGACTATCACAACATGGCTGTTCATAAAATGTCAGCTGGAGTAAAATCTATGTCAGCTGCCTTGTTGATTTGCGTCAGTAGGAACCATGTGTTCATATTTAAATTCCTGAACTCCTGTTGCTATAAATGTCAGTATTTAAACATGGATCAATGTACATTATTATTTCTGCAGTATGCACACCGTCTATTCTCTAAGTGAAGCCTACATCACAAACTGGTCAAAATCCCCCAAACATTGCCAGCAACCAATCACAGACTAGCTTAAACAATAGCTTTCCCTGACTATAATACTTAGCAACGTTATTTCCCCTAAGCTAACTTGAAAAATTATTTGTTTTTGTCTCATTTCCGTTTCCTGTCTGTCTTAGAGAATATGCATTACTGTGAAATACTTTATTTTCGCTTGGAATTAATTTTCGCTATTTTCGCTGAAGGAATGATTCAGTGAAAATAAAATCCAGCGAATATACCTTTTTAGCCTTCGCAGACGAAGTCTGCCGAAGGCTTATAGATTGGGTTCTGTCCGTGCGTCCGTGCGTCCGTCTTTTACCTCTTATAACTTTGATATGCTCTGTCCAATTTTTTTCCAAGTTGGTGCAAATGTAATTCTCAGTGCCATACATATGCACGCCAAGTATTTTTTTGATTCGCCAAAGTTTCATTGTGTTTTTCTGTGATTTTCAACATTTTACTAGTACAAATGCCGAAATTTGCCG